GTCCATGACTCTTTTGATATGCTAGCCTAGACATTAATGTAATACTAGAAAGACTACTTGTTCTCAATATACTCCTAAAGTTTATTCGTGGTGAGTTTATGCGTTGGATAAAGGTTTGTAGAGAGATTTCCGCTTTACAACACAGGTATACTTCTTAAGCTTGTACGTCTAGAGAACACAGTGGGTGGTGTAGAGCGAAAGAAAAAAGGGAACGACTAACGAAAAATACCTTTTATGTGAGTGTATGTATTTTTCGTGCAGTGCGGATTCCGAATGAACCGTAAAGCGGCAACATCTCAGTCCAGAAATGTGTGACCTGTGTGCGCATAGCAACAACAGAAAGTGATAAAGCCAAGTATTATATCGACGTGTAAAGCCAAAGTGAAGAGGAAATAGAGTGGTGGCCGCAAGGTTTTATACCATCACTCAAGTGGCACAGCCAAAAGTAAAAAGGAGAAAACAAGATGAAAAGCTATGTAGTTCACAGTAATCGGATCTTGGGGTTGTAACAAAGAGCATAGAAAAAGGCGCAAGGGGTTTAGAAATAAAAAGTTCGATTTTTCTATCCATATATGCTAACACTAGCCAGCGATGCGCAGCATCCGAGCCAATTTGAGTGACTAAGAAGCTTTTGCCTGCTGTCCATCATACGGTTCTCCTCGACTCTTTTTCCTTCGATTATTTTTCATCTCTCTGATTCTATATTACCTTGAACTCAGCTGAGCCAAGAGCGAACTGCTCACAGGCTCGGTTATGAACTAAATAAGCACGACTCCGCTTGACATGTGCAACAAAGCAGCTTTGATCGAACATATCGCCTCAGCTCAAATTCGTGTATGTGACAGGCAACTATCATAACAACTGGCAAAATGCATCCATTTGTAAGCATAATAAGTAAAATCACTTTTTACTGAACCACAGGTAAAACATTCAATGAAAACAAGGTATGCGAGCGTGCTCCTCAGGCATCAGAGGGCCATAGAATCCCAGGCGGTGGCAGATACTGTCGAGAACACCAGGTTCACATGCTTGCGCTCATGCTTATACGGGCTGTTTCTGTGCTGCGGTCGGAGATAGCTTGGCATGTTTCAGGTGCATACCATCTGCGCATATCTCATCGCACACAAACAACATCTCCAAAAATCTCATGGAACGTGAGTAGACTGAATAGCACCATACGGACATGGAGTCTAGAGTTTCTGGGCCGATAGCAAAAAGGTTCCCAGGAAGAGCCTTGGCCCGTGCACGTTTGGGTTGGGCAGGACTTGCTGAGTGCAGCAGCAGCAGCACTGAGTGAGGCAGCAGCAGCACTGAGCGCAGCAGCAGCACTGAGCGAGGCAGCAAGATCGAGTGTGACAGCAGTATCGCTACATGGCAGTGCCGATAGGTAGGGTAGGGGCTGCGGCGATGTTGCTGCTGAATACGGCGGGGTCAATGGCAAGAATTCTGATGCGGTCGGGGAAACAGGTGCTCTGCAGAGCGCAGCATGGGCGGCGGCTCTGGTTTCAAGTGCGGCATGAGCCACAGTGACATTGCAGAAGCTGCTGGTGGTGCTGACTGCAGTGGAGCCCCAAAGATGGGCCTGGACCAAGTGGTGTGCTGAGCGTGGTGGGGGCAGCAGCTTCTTTAGTGAGAGTCGCACCCACGATGAGCGTGGAATAGGGACCTGCCTTATTGCTGCGACTGGCTGCAGCTCTGAGGGTGATGGAGGCATCAGTGCCCCAGCTTCGACCAGTGCTGCTGAGCATGGTGGAGATAGCATCAAGATAGCAGCAGGCAGTGGTATTGCTGAGCATGTCGGGGGAGTGGTGATAGTCCCATGTGCATCAGTTACAGAAGTGGTGCCACAGCGCACATCCGTGCCAGCGCCAGCGCCAGCGATGGAGACCCATGTGCACCAGTGCCAGTGCCAGTGAAGCAGAGGGAGCAGTGGAAGAACGCACACGTCGTTGCAGCGGTGGTGACCTCGCGCACATCGGCAGCTGTGGCAGCGACGGTAGTGGTGACCTCGCGCACATCAGCAGCTATGGCAGCAGCAGCGGTGGAAGAACCGCTCACGTCGGTTGCAGCGGTGGTGACCTCGCGCACATCAGCAGCTGTGGCAGCGGCAGCGGTGAAAGAACCGCTCACGTCGGTTGCAGCGGTGGTGACCTTGCGCACATCGGCAGCTGTGGCAGCGGCAGCAGTGGAGAACCGCTCACGTCGGTTGTTGCAGCGGTGGTGACCTCGCGCACATCGGCAGCTGTGGCAGCAGCGGTGGAAGAACCGCTCACGTCGGTTGCAGCGGTGGTGACCTTGCGCACATCGGCAGCTGTGGCAGCGGCAGCAGTGGAAGAACCGCACACGTCGATTGCAGCGGTGGTGACCTCGCGCACATCGGCAGCTGTGGCAGCAGCGGTGGAAGAACCGTGCACGTCGGTTGCAGCGGTGGTGACCTTGCGCACATCAGCAGCTGTGGCAGCAGCGGTGGAAGAACCGTGCACGTCGATTGCAGCGGTGGTGACCTCGCGCACATCGGCAGCTGTGGCAGCAGCGGTGGAAGAACCACACGTCGATTGCAGCGGTGGTGACCTTGCGCACATCAGCAGCTGTGGCAGCAGCGGTGAAAGAACCGCACACGTCGGTTGCAGCGGTGGTGACCTTGCGCACATCAGCAGCTGTGGCAGCAGCGGTGGAAGAACCGTGCACGTCGATTGCAGCGGTGGTGACCTCGCGCACATCGGCAGCTGTGGCAGCAGCGGTGGAAGAACCGCACACGTCGATTGCAGCGGTGGTGACCTTGCGCACATCAGCAGCTGTGGCAGCAGCGGTGAAAGAACCGCACACGTCGGTTGCAGCGGTGGTGACCTTGCGCACATCAGCAGCTGTGGCAGCAGCGGTGGAAGAACCGCACACGTCGATTGCAGCGGTGGTGACCTTGCGCACATCAGCAGCTGTGGCAGCAGCGGTGGAAGAACCGCACACGTCGATTGCAGCGGTGGTGACCTCGCGCACATCGGCAGCTGGTGGCAGCGGCAGCAGTGGAAGAACGCACACGTCGGTTGCAGCGGTGTGACCTCGCGCACATCGGCAGCTGTGGCAGCGGCAGCAGTGGAAGAACCGCACACGTCGATTGCAGCGGTGGTGACCTCGCGCACATCGCAGCTGTGGCAGCGGCAGCAGTGGAAGAACCGTGCACGTCGGTTGCAGCGGTGGTGACCTTGCGCACATCGGCAGCTGTGGCAGCGGCAGCAGTGGAAGAACCGCACACGTCGGTTGCAGCGGTGGTGACCTTGCGCACATCAGCAGCTGTGGCAGCAGCGGTGGAAGAACCGTGCACGTCGGTTGCAGCGGTGGTGACCTTGCGCACATCAGCAGCTGTGGCAGCAGCGGTGGAAGAACCGCACGTCGATTGCAGCGGTGGTGACCTTGCGCACATCGGCAGCTGTGGCAGCGGCAGCGGTGTAGAACGCACACGTCGGTTGCAACGGTGGTGACCTTGCGCACATCGCAGCTGTGGCAGCGGCAGCGGTGAAAGAACGCTCACGTCGGTTGCAGCGGTGGTGACCTTGCGCACATCAGCAGCTGTGGCAGCAGCGGTGGAAGAACCGTGCACGTCGGTTGCAGCGGTGGTGACCTCGCGCGCATCGGCAGCGGCAGCGATGGTAGAACCGTGCATGTTTGCTGCAGCAACAGTGGGCCCCGTGCACCATGGAGGCAATAGAAGATGTTGGTGTGCGAAGCGCGGAGAGTGGTAATGGTGGTGCGCACGACGATAGCAGCGGCCGACTGCTTCTGGGCCATCTGGCATGCATGGTAGTAAGCCAGCCTGCGGCGGCCGGCGGAGGCACTGACAATTTTTGCCTGTACCTGAAGGAGCACATGCAGCGCCTCCAACCCGCGCGGCGATGCAATCATCGCATGGGTAACGAGGTGAGAACTCTGGAGCTCTCTCTTGAATATGTCGTTGGTAAGCAGTCCCAAGTCACCCACGGGCTTTCCCCATACAGAGCGCATGTAAACGTACACTGCTACACCACAAGTAACCGAGTCAGCTACCTCGGTCACCTTGATGATCTTCTCGAGGAGCTTGGACGCCGCTCGGGCGATGGTCCTTGGCAACATCTCCGGTTGCAGTGCGGCGGCCGCGCAGAAGGTGCCGCGCCTCTGCGATTTTAAGGCGAAGAGCGGCGATGGTAGAGGGAGGGATGGGAGTGATAAATGCAGACATCTAACAGTATTGATACTTGATGTGTTTAGTATCGTATGTGCTTGAACGTGTGCTTGAACGTGTGCTTGAACGTGTGGGAAGGAGCGAGTGAGCGGAGTGAGCGAATGAAAGTGGGATATTCTTACCTTACTATGCTTGTATTTGCGAGTACGAGAAATATAATTCGTTTGGATTGTAAGGAAGAAGAGAAGAGAAGAGAACTGGCCAGCATGCGAGTGCGCAAGCTTTTATACCTGGATTTCTTGTCGCTGCTGGGGGTTCGACGCGTAATTTTTCGTCTCGATGTCAAAATCTGGCGAAGGAATCAGCAAGAATCTGGCCTGTAGATGAGTAGTGAATGATTCTATTCGTTGCCGGTTATTCATGTCAACAAACGATGCCATAGGTGCAATCGAGAAAAGGACATGAAGCGATTGTGCCCAGTATCGGGTGGCTGCCAGTGGTGGTCGGCTATTCGGTTGTTCTCCGACTGCTGGAGAATGGTGGCAAGGTACCTACACCATACTTGCTGAATGGTCTGTGGGGAAGGGTAGAAAGGCGCAAAAAGGGTCCCAAGATTATGTAACGCAAGCCTATATCCAAATACAGATATGCCACAGTAACCGCTTCGATGGCTGCAAGGTAGATCTGCAGTAACTGCCATTTTTGAAATTTCAACCGAATTCGCCAAATGTCTTTTTCGAATTCAATGAATTCAGCGCATGTCGCTGGGGGAGGCAAGTATTTTATAGCGAGGGCAGCCTTTCTCGCGTTTCTCGCGTTTCTCGCTTTTCTCTGATGTGGCGCTGGCCAGGAAACCCCCTCAGATAATCGATCGATACTGATGGGGGCAGCCCGGAGCTATACACGCGTACGTACGTGTACACTCTTCTTTTGTCTGATACACCCGCAGTCGTGACTCTACAGCGGCTCTACCACTGCTTGATCTCAATAACAATCTACCTACCATTTTGTTCCACAGTCGATACCGATATTGTCAAATGGCTATATGGTTTTTGCAATCATATATTTGGAAATTGGATTCCCAAATCGCAGAGCTACTGAGCTCATAGCGCTAGTGCCAGTCACAGTTAGCAGACCGATGTCTATTCTAGTAAAGCCTATAGGATTATTAAGACTCAAGAGCGGGCAAAGTTACTAGGTAAAGCGTCGGCTTGCCAGAACCAATCGCTTTCCCACTGATTTTGGGAAGATCGCGCCTAAAACGCATTGCACACGACTGGCAGCTGGTCTTTTCCTTTCCTTTCAATTCAATATTATATTCTTGTACTCAGTACCAGTCTCTCATCATGCCCAGCTAATGAGCTGCGATTACAGATTGTGGAGTTTTTAAGCAAGCGACCGCTTTCGTGAAAACCAGCAGCATTGACACTGATACGCTCACACAGACGTTATGAAGTCAAAGCTACCGGTGTGAGAGGTTGCTGAGATGGCAAATCAGCGTGTCACTTGCCAAGTAGTGATTGGAACCACAAACATAGAGGCGATCCCAGGGCTGAGAACAATGCTGCTAGGTAATGACAGAGGCTACTGCTATAGACTGCTATACTTTCTGTTCTCAGAATGGTTCGAATTCAGTCATAGTACCTGTGTTTTGTTTTCACATTCAGTCTGAGCAATGCTGAGCCACCACATGTCACTCGACCTAGCTGTGAAGTTTACACGATTGGCACGATCTGGTTCTACAACTCTGGTACATGCAGTATGTACCTGTTAGAATAACTACGAACTCTGTCCCAGTATTGCAACACAAAATGCAGAGAACTGATTCTGTAGTATGACATTGAATGGCAAACAAGACAATCTGCACAATTGATGTGAGGCCACTTCAGCCCTTCAGATGCTGGGACCTGTTAAATAGTAGCCAACACCATAGTACTTCATTCGACCCGCTCACATAAACAGGCTTCTTTTGCTTACCAGAATAGGATGGCGTGCCAATCTGGACACACGTACCTTATTCTGGTCATGTGAAATTCTTTGAAATCCTTTTAGTTGTTCTCATATCTGTCCATTGGTTTTCCCGCTTGGCAAATTTTCACACTTTTAGGATATTCAGTACAAGTCTACTCCTTTGAACTTTTCAAGATATTCTACTTTTCATTAAGCACTTAGTGTCTTTTACCTGTATTGCCGCAGACTGCTCATAGTGGCTATGCATTGTTGCCGGCGCGTGGCTCCGTGTCCCAACCGTCTGAGCCCAGTGCCAGGTTGTCTGTGAATCGGCAATCAGGGCGCAGTATCCCATCCCCAATGCTGTAAGGCTATACTGTGTCAATGGCACCCGGTATCGATCCCAGGGTGTGCCAGCATGAGAGTGACTACCAAGATTACCAAAATATAGAGTACCCCTAGGATAGATCACAGACACAGCTGCCTAGCTCGCAGTTCCCAAAGCCGCTAGCGCCTATTTTTGGGCGGTGCCCATCGCCACCACCCTACATAAAGAATTGCAGCAAGACTTGGCAGCAGAAGCCAATGGTGCCATCCAGTGCAGGGCAGCTGCGCTTGAACAGCGTGTTTTCAGGATTGTGTGAGTCAACATATGATGCTGATGTTGTCAACATGAAACGACTGTTCGGTTCTGCATAGCTCCTGAGCGTATTTAAATCATGTGGAAGCTAGTTTGTAAAGTGTGGCTATATGGCTTTTTAATGAAGGGAACCGAGAAAATATATTACTGGTCTAGTATTCGTGGACTATGGATATGCAGATGCGATACGCTGTGAAATTGCTACACAGGGTGCCTGTATATAGAGAGCTGGTTATCTTGGCGCCGTTCTATTATTCAATGGAGATTAGATTTATGCCGACTAGAATGCATTGGTTGAATCCCAAGATCCGATTACTGTGAACTACATAGCTTCTCATCTCGCTGTTTCCTCTTTCCTTTATCCACTCTTACTTTTTGGCTGTGCCACCTGAACGAAAGTATAAAACCTTTACCCTCGCCTTTACTTTTTCTTTTCTCCTTAGCTTTTCACATCTATTTATTTCTTGACTCTGTCACTTCCTGTTGGCATTATGCTTGCACTACTAGCGCGTTTATGGACTGAAATATTACCGCTTTACGGTTCATTCGGAATCCGCACTACACGAAAAGTATGTATAGTTACATATCCGATATTTCTTCCTATTTCTCTTGTTCTTTTTTCCTTTCTCGCCCTGCATCACCCACCGTGTGCTCTAGACCTACAACAAACCACCCATCCCTTAGGTTAACATGCACTGTCAAGTCAAACTATCCCGCTAATCCAACGCCATCCAATGAACCATTTTAATATGAATCTGAGGCTAAGAGAAAATAGGAGCTACATGGCCACAACAAGCAAGCAACCTAGAATGATACTTTTCTGGATGACAACCTATATAGTATGATTGCCCTGATGGACGAACAGTATGCTTTTATGTAAGAGTCACGCAGTCTATGGTACATGTTTTTGGCGAGTATTCGTCTCACTACTGTACGCCTAACGCGGCTATTCCTGAAATCAGCGTAGCAGCTGACACCAGGAGTGGCGAATAGAGCATCAACCTGACCCAAGCAGCAAGATACTCAGTAGACAAATGATACCGCTTTATCTCTCTTCCCTCCTTTTGCTCAAGCGGACAGCGTATTTCTCCCACTCCTGTATCCTACACTTCCTGGAACCGTTTAGCGCAACGGGCTACAAGGGAATCGCATAGTATGGCCATATCGTGCGAGTAAACACGCGCGTAGATACAAAATAGGCCTGCCAGCCATCCATAAACGAGTAGATGGGATGCCGCTCCCTTATGTACATGTATCCTGTATACTCTACTCCCTTTTACCATATTTGGTACTGCTTGGGGCAGAATCCTGATTTTTGCTGGTGAGCGGAGCTGAGTTTGGGTTGTACAAACTTGCTAATCGCGCACCCCGTTCACACGCAAAAAAGGCACCACTAGCAACACGCCCACGTAAAAAGGCGTTAACCCGCTTTATCTTTTCAACAGCTTCTTCTCGCTCTTGTTATTGCCTACACATTAATTTATTCATATCATCCACATATTACTATTATTATCATTATTAATTTTTTACCCTTTCACAATGCATCTCAAGACTCGTGTCTGTAGCTTTGCCAAGCGTGCTGGCGAAAAGATCAAAAGGCTCAAGAAGCTCAAGAAGCTGCGTCCACATCGCTCTACGAAAGACAAGCAGTCAGCCGACGACT